CTTGGTAACTGAAGGCTCTGGCTAGAGACTATAGGATTAAATGATCAATTTAGGATTAGCTCCTCCCACTTCATATTGAAGCCCTGCCCATTCCGAGCACAGATACCAATACATATAATTTAGTTGGTTGAACAGATGCAGTCTATGTACTATGTAGTCCCCTTAAAAATTCCACACTGGAACAAAAAAACCTTATGCTTACAATCCCACGATGCAATGCACTGCATTTCATAGATGTGAAAATTGCACTACTCCATAGCTGTGATGAGACAGAATTATGATGATTAGTAAGTGTACGAAATCTCCATTTACAGCTCACTATTGAGTAAGCTACTGAGTGTCTGTTACATATGGAGTAATGAATGAATGATTTCAGACACAGTCCTAGTCCTGTTCTCGGACTGTCCCCTGACAGTGAAAACGCTTCTGCCTTTCTTTGGTTTCAGGTTGACTTTGATGATGGGAACTGCCCCACATATCACAACCAGATCAAAGGCATTCATAATGTTTTTAAGGTGGTTCACAACCAGTTTCCCAGTAAGTGGTTATTACTAATTCATGCTGGTACAGCTACATTACTGCACAGGGACAAGAATATGTGTGTGGATATGCTCATGAACTACACCTCCTTCCTTCTGTTGATAGATGTTCCACACATATCTCAGGCTCCGGTGCTGATGCTGCGTCCCCGTGCCTGGAACATGGTGGAGCACAACATGATGGTACTAAAGCATTTCCTCTTCTTCACTTCACCCAGTTCATTTATTTATTCAGTGCATGTTGGTGGTGGTTGAATGGATGAATGGTTTGAGTTTGTGGAAGAAAAACAACTGGAGCTATAATGTGTTTTGTCAGTGTGTTCTGTCATTTAAGGCCAGTGTGTAGGATTTGGAATTGAGCTTTAATAAAGTTCCTCTGATTTCACACAGGGGCCACTGTAATCTGTCAATTTAAAAAAATTTTTTTTTAAATAGAATTCAAGGTTTTACAACCTTTTCAGCAATAACATAATCAGTGAATAAATGCTTCAGCAAATCTTTTAAATGATTGTATTCCTGGCTGTGTAGAAGGCTTTGAAAAAACAGTCACACTTTTATGTTGGGAAATAGATTTTATATTTAATTTACCGAAATCAATAGAATATTATTTCAAGTGTAAATTTGCAATAGCTGCGCGTATTCATGCATTCACACCCACACAGAGTGAGCTATAGAGCTACTGGTTGCAGCATAATAATGAAAGTGAAGGGGGCATTCCCTTACATTTTCTTTACATTTCATAATAACAGTTGAGTTTGTCAATTCAAAAACAAAATGAAAACAGTAGTGATAAAATACAAAAAGACAGTTAAACAAAAAGAGAAAAGAAAGCAAGTAAAAAAAACAAAACAAAAATATAAATAAATGTAATAATAATAGTAACATATTGCAGTGTTTGTTTCTGAGCCACGAAATGCTTGTATTGTATTTTTAGGGAACTGATATGTTAAATTGTGCTGAAACAACTGATTGTTTGGTCACATAAATATTTGTATTTTTCAGTAAAAACTTTTATATTCATGTGAATGTAAATTGAATACCATCAGACGAAAGAAGCAGTCTTCAGTATCAGTTTGGTGCTGTGGCAACTTGAGATGGGTATTTGTCATTATTATAGGCTAAATGAGCATATGATTAATCAAAAGAACACAGCCCATATGTGAAGACGACATCTGTGTTATTGTGGCTGTTTGTCAGGTGGAGGGGAAGGAGGCTCCTGGTCCTCTCTTTGACTTTGGACTCCTCATGTTCCACTGTGGAAAGACCCTGTTTAAAAACCAGAGTGGACCCTTTTTCTACCTCTCAAAAGTAACACACACACACACACAGTGATGATTTGTGTAATATGAATATAATCCACATTTATACGGTCTCTCATTGTTTTCCAGGTGGAGAGCTTAATGGAGGCAAGACTATGGAACAAGATATTTGTCTGGACACAACAGAAGGTCTGCACACACGTCACTGTTTATGCACATAATCAGTCATCTAGTTAAGTCACTTTTATCTGATAGCCCAATATCAGCACAAGTAGCCTCATTGGGCTTCAAAATCTGTACAGCATACGACACCCTCTATCCTTCGACTTGCTATTTAGATAAGCAAACCCCCCACCCAAAAGACATTAAATCGGGAAAATGTGGAACAAACCTCAGGAGGAGCAACAGAAGAGGGATTCCTCTCCCATGCAGACAGACAGACATGCAGCACAGAACAGTCGTAATATTTTATTTTTTTAGGCTTTTTTATGCCTTTAATTGATAGGACAGACAGGAAATGGGGGCAGAGAGAGGGGATGACACGCAGCAAAGGGCCGCAGGTCAGATTCGAACCCTGGGTCACTGCAGCAAGCTTGGTACATGGGTCGCCAGCTCTACCCACTGAGCTAACCTGGCACCTGAATAGATGTAAAATGTAAAAAGTATTGTAGTGTTGCAGCCAGTGGCGCAGGAAACATTGGTGGAGGGAAGAATGGATTCCACTAAATACCAGCAAATTCCAGAAACACACATCACAGTACCTGTAAAAAGCTAAAGCTAAAAAGTGGATGGCTTCTACAACTGAATAATGATCCTAAATGTACCTTTCAATCCACCACGGACTACCTCAAGAGACGCAAGCTGAAGGTTTTGGAATGGCCCTCACAGTCCCCTGACTTAAATATCATTGTAAAATCTGTGGGAGAAGTGCATGCAAGACACCTTAAGAATACTGCAGAACTAGAAGCCTAAAAGTTTAGATATAAAATGTAACTATACTTATGTCATAAGACATAAGAATGAGTTCAATCAATAAGCACCTATTCCTCCAGACACTGATCAAAACACAACTTCTGCACAACTGTAGAGTTGTGAAACGATGCACATGTAATCCTAAATTTTGATCTTGTAGCAACCTTTTACTCCTTATACTATTATGTATATATACATTTCTGTCAAAATATAATTGTGTGGGGTTGTCCTAGTAGCTCACCTGGTAGAGCTGGCACTCCATGTACCAAGG